CCTGCCTCCCTGCCTCCCTGCACGGGGCTGTTCCCGGGAAGGATGCTGCTGGTCCCCAGAGTTCAGTACCTCGGGAGCCCTTAGGGCTTAGAGAACGCCCCGCGTGGATTGATTTTTTTACGGGGGAAAATAGGAAAGAATTGTTGTGCTGTCTGACCAGCCGGTGCCTTTGAAGGTTCACCAGTGTTTATAACCACGAAGGTTTGGTCTCCTAGGGAGGTTTGGGGTGGGGGGGCCCTTTAAAGCTCACCTCGTCCAGCCCCTTGGGCACATCCCTGTGTGTCCAGTTTCTTCCTCCTCGTTTTTTTTTTTTTGACTTATTGCCCGTGTTTGTGATGTGTCCTAGAAGAGCTGTACGTGTCTGAACGGGAGGGCAGTGACTCCACTGGGGATGGGACGCAGAAGAAACCATTCAAGACCGTGTTAAAGGTGAGTGTGGAAAACACCTGCTTGGTTTGGAACAGTGTGGAACGTGCTCAGGCTCTGTGAGGATGATTCCAGTTCACTTCTGTTATTTTCTCCCCCTTTTTAGGCATTGATGACAGCAGGGAAAGAGCCATTTCCTACGATTTATGTGGATTCCCAAAAAGAAAACGAGGTGCTGTGGCATTAAAGCTTCCTGGGGGGAGTTATTTTACTGCTCCTCGGTGTGAAGGGACACAATGTCATGTTCTGTGTTCTGCTCTCTCCTTGCATTCCTTAGAGATGGGCCATCATTTCCAAGTCACAGATGAAGAATGTCAAAAAGCTGTGGCACAGGGAGCAGATGAAGAACGAAGCCAAGGAGAAGAAGGAGGTAGGCTGCAGAGGGAGCAGAGCACCTTTGTTTGCCCAAAACTGTGGCACTGTGTCAGTGTTGCTGTCACTGTGTGTCACTGTCCTTCCTGCTCCTGCAGAAAAGCTGCAGTTAGTTCCCCACATGTTACAACTGGCCTGTTTACAGCTGTTTAATAATTAGTTACTCCCTTTGACCAGGCAGAAGATCTCTTGAGAAGAGAGAAGAACCTGGAGGAAGCCAAGAAGGTTGTCATCAAGAATGATCCCAGCCTTCCAGAGCCCAAATGTGTGAGTGTGACCCTGTGCCTTGGAGCACAGGGCAGCACAGGGATTGTACCTGCTCTGGGAGGGGCTTTGGATGAACCCTGGGTGCAGGAGGTGGCGAATCATTCCCCTGCCTGCTGGCTTTTGTTCCCTGACAGGTGAAGATCAGTGCTCTGGAGGCTTACAGAGGGCAGAGGGTGAAGATTTTTGGCTGGATTCACAGGTTACGGAGGCAAGGTAAGGCACGGGCATTACTGAGCTTGTGCAGGGAGGTGGAACAACCACAGTGGCCTTCAAAATTTGGACACAGAATGAGTCCCACAGCACCTACTCTGAAATTTTTAAACCATCAGTTAGGTGTCCTCTGTGGTTTATCAGTGGTCACTGCAGCACTGACAGTGTGTGAGCATACAGACATTTCTTAGTTCACATTCTGTGGGATTTTCAGTTCGGAGCCTGGCCCTGCAGAATTTCCTCAAAAGACTTGTCCTGTGTTTTAAGCTAATCCTGCCAAGGGAGGAGCTTACCAGTGAAATCAGCAACTCTCTTCTCTTTTTAACTAGGGAAAAACCTGATGTTCATTGTCCTGAGAGATGGCACAGGGTTCCTCCAGTGCGTCCTTTCCGACGAGCTGGTGAGTTGTGCTGGTTTCATTCTGTTCTGTCCTAACTGAAGTGTTCACCCCTCTGTTGGGAAGTTCCCCTAAACCTACTGACTCGTGTTAATGTTCAATGCATCACCTGCCCCTGAGTGTGTGTCAGTGTGAGAGCTGGCTGGGAGTGACTGTGAGTTTATCTAGATGCTGCAGGAAATGTCAGAATAAAAACTTGCCTGCCCTGGCTGTGTGTCCTTCCCTGCAGTGCCAGTGTTACCACGGGCTGGTGCTGTCCACGGAGAGCAGCGTGGCGGTGTACGGCACGCTCAACCTCCTCCCCGAAGGCAAGCAGGTATGTTCTCGTCCTCCTCGGCAGGGCCTGGCTGTCCTGACAGAAGCAGAAGCAGAGGTGGAAGGAATGGTTAGGTTATTTCAGCAGGAATTAGGTTTAGAGCGGGTTTTGCAAATGAAATTTGAGGAGGCTGAATTTTTCTACTTGTCCCTGCCACTGGGTCCTGTCCCCGGGGGATCGAGCCGAGGTGAGAGCTGAGCTCAGCTAATGTGAACCCACATGATTACAATTTTGTAAAAACCGTGTGGGTTAGCCTTTGAAAATCTGGATTCCTACCCTGAAACTCCTGTGAATGAATGAAAAATGCCATTTTCGGGGATTAAGGCGGCCGTGACCCACACGGGGGAGCTGCTGAGAGCAGAACGGGGTCACGGGCTGAGCTGGGAGGGACCTCAAAGCCCATCCAGCGCCACCCCCTGCCATGGGCAGGGACACCTTCCACCAGCCCAGGCTGCTCCAGGCAACACTCCCAGGGATGGGGCAGCCACAGCTTCCCTGGGCAGCCTGTGCCAGGCCCTCACCACCTTCTCAGGGAGGAATTTCTTCCCAATATCCCACCTAACCCTGCCCTCTGGCCGTGTCCACTGTCCTCTGTCCTGTCCTCCAGGCCATCCTGGGGGCAAGCAGTGGACTTTTCCCCCAGTGGTTGTTTCTGTGCCCCTGGCAGGCTCCGGGAGGCCACGAGCTGAGCTGTGATTACTGGGAGCTCATCGGCCTGGCCCCGGCAGGAGGGGCTGACAACCTGCTCAACGAGGACTCGGAGGTGGATGTGCAGCTCAACAACAGGCACATGATGATCCGGGGGGAGAACATGTCCAAAATCCTCAAGGTGCGCTCCGTGGTCGTGCAGGCCTTCAGGGATCACTTCTTTGCCAACGGGTACTATGAAGTAAGTGTGTGCTCCCTCGTGTGACTGCTCCAACGCCCCGACTCGTGTGCTGTCACCGTGCCCTCAGCTCTTCCCTCCATGACCGCCCTGTTCTTCGACAGGTCACACCACCGACCCTGGTGCAGACGCAGGTGGAGGGAGGCTCCACCCTGTTCAAGCTGGATTACTTTGGTGAAGAGGCCTATCTGACCCAGTCCTCCCAGCTCTACCTGGAGACCTGCGTGCCAGCCCTGGGGGACGTCTTCTGCGTGGCTCAGTCGTACCGGGCCGAGCAGTCCAGGACCCGCCGGCACCTGGCAGAGTATGGGCAGCTCGCAGCCTTACTTCCTTCACAGCCTGGGAGTGGCAGAAATTAAAGAGGGGGGATTTTAA